CCTTTAACGTCAGCCCGAAACACAAATTGGATTCGTTACGACTATTTTTACAAGCGTAAACAAAAGGGATTTGATTGATCATACCAGATATAGATCAACATGCGGTTACAATTTAGAAAGAGTCAAAACAGCTTAGTTAAAATTCAGCCTTGGAGCAACAATTCAGTAGCTAAAAATTAAAACTTACAAGTCTATACCTACAATTGTTTCGGAAAATCTTCTGTTCTCAATTTTGTTTCCTGAACCTTGGTGAAACAAAATACGGGCTTGTCCGGGAATTGAACCCGGGACCTCTCGCACCCGAAGCGAGAATCATACCACTAGACCAACAAGCCGTCGATGCAGTTAAAGATGTCTTTCTCTCGTTTCTGGGTTTACCATATTGGCCTCATGCTTAAAATATACTTTACAAAAAAATCGGGCTTGTCCGGGAATTGAACCCAGGACCTCTCGCACCCTAAGCGAGAATCATACCACTAGACCAACAAGCCTGTTGATGTTTATTAAGCTTGATATTCAGCAAAACACGTATTAAGATGTATGTCACATTGCACATGCATCTTGCGATACGAAGAGACAAATTAATATTGGTCTTTAAACGTTTTAAAATCCAGGGCGATCGATCATGCCTTTTTAAAAATGCACGCAATTGATATAAAAAAATCCTTTTAAAATGCAGAAGAAAAAAATACGGGCTTGTCCGGGAATTGAACCCGGGACCTCTCGCACCCAAAGCGAGAATCATGCCACTAGACCAACAAGCCTGTTTTAGTTAACTCATTCCCTTACTTGGGTACATGTATACAGAAGAAACAATAAACGGACCGCTAACAACAATTTACTGCAAAACAAAAGCCAAATGGCCATCACTCCTTTGTCACTTTAATTCTAGCGATTTACAATGGCTTTCTATAGTCAGCGAGATGAAGGGAGAAACTTTAAGGAAAGTTCGTTCGATTATTTTGGGGAAAATTTAGTTTACCCTTTTGGTACCCCAGGGTGACGTAAAAGAGATCGAAGATAGGCTTCATAACATTTTTGTAGAGTGATGAGGTGGTAAATAAATAATAACTGTACCTCACATAATTATTATGTGCACCTGTAAAATATGTAGACGAAGTATGACTATGATCTTTTGAAATTACTATTGACAAGGGTTTATAGTATCTTAAAGTTCATGAAAAGTTGTCTTTTTGAAGGTGTCCCGCTCGGTTCTATCTTCTTCGACTTGAAAGGTGATCATAATATACTTGTTCACACGGTGATCACATCCTGGTGTCATTGGATCACCTAACCCGCAGACCAACTGCCGTGCATTGAAGGCAGCGGTCCATATAAGGCTGATGGACGACATCGCCTCTAGGTCATTATGAACCACGGTATTTCAGTCAAGAAACTCCATGTGTATATTTCCACCGCTTGAGATGGACGATGGTGGCACTTAATCAGTGTACATTACGGGATACTTTGCCTTAGGTTTAGAACCAAATTACTAGTGAACTAAAAATATCTTTCCTTACCCATTTTTGAATGATTTGTATGATAACAATGATTTTCTGATTTTAATTTGAAGTGGCTGACAAAAAAAGCAAAAAAGTAGAACGCTGGATTGCACTTACTGTAAGATTTCTGCAATCTTCACAATTTCCAGAACAGGCAAATCTAAAAATATCTCACTTGAAGTATACAATCACGTTAAAGTAACACAGTAATTACTCTTAATAACCAAAGGGGAATTTTTTTATGAATACAAAAGAGAACAAAAGAGAAACGGAAAACGAAACGACAAATTCGAAATGTCTGCCAAAGTGAAAACAATAAATTCAACAAATTCAACAGAAACGGGAGGACAGGCAATAAAAAAATAATTCAAACTGTCGATCGTTACAAAATACATGTACATAATTATGAACGGGGACCTACAAGATAGAGTCTTCAAAGCTGATATAGCGCCCTCAATCCAACAAGTGAAGTTTCAATTCTTGTGGCGAATCGAGTAAAGCAAAACTCCGAAATGAGCAGTCCGGGTCTATAGTGTAATCAGCGGAAATAGTCGTTTCCGGACGAGACACGCCGGTCAATTATAAAATCACTGCATAATTGAAGTCAGACGGACTGGTCCTTTCGAATTATTACAAAGTGGGTTGATACTGACCAAAAGGGGATAAAGTGCATCCGCACTTGACATAGTAATGGTGATAGAGTTAAAAGGACGCTGCCACCCGCGCGCAGTTTTGAACACAATTTAAGGTTTGCATGCTTTCGTTATATATACACACTTTCTAGCTATCAGTATCACCTCAAGGTGTATAAGAGAGTACTGAGAGCCATGGAATTGGAAAATTGAAGATATATGGCAATGCACCTCTGGTCCGAACTTGGGGCTTCCAATTCCGAGCATTTTGGATGCAGTTAAATTGGGCCCGCCCGAAAGTAGCGCTATTTAGCCATGTTGTGGATGGATTTTTTTTTATAGAAACGGCTGCTTTTCCAGTTTGAAACATCATTCGTTTTAGGGGTCGTCTTCTTTGGGTGAGAATTTCTCGAAAAGTCATCGGTCAACCCCAAAAAAGTGAAAAGAAAATGAAAGATGACATGTTGTTCATCTTTTTTTCCATGCAGCCTGAATACCTGTGAGAGTTCTTGAGTATTTTTGAAAGGTTTTTGAAGTACGGACGGTGATATAACACTGGTGTCTATGGAAATTTATTTGCTAAGGTGAACCCCTAGAGTTCAAGGTGAGATATATGGTCAGGGGTTCGGACTTGCAGCGTGCTAGTCATATGTTGTGTCCTTGGGCAAGCAATCTCACCACCACTGCCTCTCTCCACCCAGGTGTATAAATGGGTACATTGGCATTAGCTGGGGAGTAACCTGCGATGGCCTGGCATCCAATCCAGGGATAATAGAAATATTTTCTGTTGTTTCATGTCCAGGAATCCGGCGATAAACGCCGGCCTGATGGGCTATATAATATGCTCGTGACAGACTTTACTTTACTTTCTTTATCAGCTGTCACAACTAGTACGTGAGTCTAAATTATGATACCAAAATGTCCAACAAGCCAGGTGAAGTTTCTACAAAAATTAAATCGATATGTTTTACAGGAAGATGTAATGACAAATCATCTGGATCACATTTCGCGTTTTCCCGCCAAATCCGGGAACTATCCCTCCAGCTACAATCGAAGTGGACATGTTCGACTATGAACACTGACACACTCGTTTTCAATCATAAAAAAGGTTCATTCTATGGCAGCTGCGTGGAGTCGAGCAGGGTTTTTTTTTCTCCAAAAAGCTGACGGAATTCTGCTGGGAACAACAGGTTCGCTTCCCAATCGAACCCCATTTTTATTAAATTTCCTGCGGAAGCTGATGGGACGTGCATGTAGTTAAACACGTTTAAGGAGAAAGGGACTACTCTTGAAATATATACAATCTGAAGAAATGTCAGTTCGTGAATGATGTCAATTGCAAAATGCTGCACCAGTGATTTGAGATGGATACTTCTAACGACGCAATGGAGTATGATCAGTAAACATTTTGCTTTTGCTGCAATTTTCAGAAATATATGGATTAATTTGGAGGATTAGTATGTTGTAGCAAATATTGTTAAACTGACGTGTTTCACGTTTTGTAGATGCTGGAAAAACCAAGAAAATCCATTATGTTGTTGTAGTCTGGTTCCCAGACCCCACTTAAGATCAAACGGAGCAAGTCATAAACTTTGGGGAATTGTAAGGTCAGAATGATCAGTCTAGCAGGCTTGTACCCCTTCACAGGTGTGTGATCGAGTGCAAAAAATGCGGAAAACTAAATATGAAATGTTAGGAGCAGTTTTGAGGGGGAGGGGGGAAACAGTTTTCGCAAACGCTGTTCAGCCGACCAGCGTTGGAAAAATGCAATTTTTCTTGAAAATGTGAGCGCACAGTACCAGAGGCCACGACTTCACAGGATGCTTTTAGACAGTCATTCCCGAACAATCCAGTATAGCATTTCGTGAAAATTTGATCACTTCGTTTTTTGATGTTTGCAAATAATGTATCTTCCCTTTAATTAATCGCATTGTCATTTGATGTTTTGATTGGTTCATCCACTAAAGATACTTCTTAGTTGTTCACTGAGGGCAATCCAGGGTATTACGTGATCAATCACATATGGCAGTCTCACCTAGTGCGATTTGAGGCTTTGCATGGTGGGACTCAACAGAGAGGACGTCATCTATAAAATGAGAGGCTGTTATGAATGTCTATATATGAGTGCAATGGTAAGAATAATTTCATGAGGTGACAGATGGAAAGTTCCGTGTGGCGAAGCCGTGCGGGTTGAACATTCCATCTGTCAACGAATAAAATGAAATTATACTTTCAATTGCACGAATATGCAGCATTCATTGTTTTATAAATAACACCTGAATTAATCCTCGTCATCTGATTGGTCAGAGCCAGCAATAGTGTGACTGTGGAATGGAACTTCTGTTTTTGCGGTGCAGCAGGGCCGTGGTTGGGATGAATAATTCAATGACACGTGATCAACGACGTACCAATCAAAATGACGGGAATTATTCACGCATTGTATAATATGCTCGGATCGTCATAAAAAAAAATGGTTGTAAACCCTACTTGTGTCTGCAAAGGGGAAAGTGTTTGCTTCCGTCGTGTCCTTTTTGAGGGGCGCTCTAAACACGTGCTTTCTCTTTGCCAGTGAGTCAAGCTGGTTTGTGAACCCTCAAGAGTCCATGGTGTCACATCCGGTAGTGCACCGGGAATGTAGCCAGGCAGCTGAGAGCTCCGGGTAATTCCAAGAGGAGAAACTAAACAGCCTTCCTCGAGTGTTTCACTTCCCATTTCGCCATGTGTCAATAAGGGGTGGCTTGCAGAGGAACCGACTGGCGAGAGAACAGTTTGATGCGAACGCCGGGTTCAACGATTAGACGTATTTTCTCTGTTTCAGTCGTCATTTGATGTAAGAGGCGCCTTGTCTGCTGGATGCAGCCTTGACAGGTGGTGGGCGGTGCTTCTGAAGATGACTGGGTGAGAATCGTAGAATCCTACCCCAGCTCAGCCAGCTGAGGACACAGTGCGACCTTGGGCCTTTGTCAAACACCAACACACACACTGTTCCTCTCTTATACCAGTCAGTCACTTGTGTTGTCAAAGGTGTTCTTCAGACGTGAGAAAAATTAAATTGGGTCGCATTTCATAGTACTTTGCCATTTATGCGGTCAATACTACTTTCGTGCTGTACAATTCTCACATGACATTATGAAACAGTTAATGTTTATGTATGCACACCACATACACGGATTTTATTGCAGTGTTTTCGGTTGCAGTTGCAACACGGCCGAGCAGCAAGAGTCATTCCGGAGTTTTAAGACATAAACAAAGTGCCTTTCTTCGGCAGTGCTTTGAAGTCGGCCGTACTCTTTAAAGCAGGTATCATAAGATTCAGCTAGTTTGCACTTTGAGAGACGTTACAAGATCGCTTGAAAGAGCTTACAAGATGCCCATCTTCATTACCAAGCCAAGAATGGAGTGGCCAGCCGTCTACTCCACCACCACCCACCCTCTCCAATTCGCCAAGCAGGTGTCCAGCAGGAATGCCAGCACCTTCCCCAGGAGGGGACGGACCGCACCCTGTCCCCCATATGGTATGCCGTCTGTTCTGACGGACGGGGAGGGGGTGGAGATCACCGAGCTACCGGGGGACGAGACGGGCCGGTGTGGGGTGGTCATCACCGTCCCGCCCTGCAAAGATTTGACGACTGTCATCGTCCGACTACCAAACAGTGCAGACAAGGAGAAAAGTGAGACACACCTGTTATCACCTGTAAGATGATAATATTCTTATTGTTTGTTGGGCTCTTTGTAAATTTCATTTTAGTGTAGGAGATGCATGTTTTGATGTTCTTAACTGCTGAGGTACATTTTAAAGTCCTGTTGGAGGTCAGCGGAGGGCAGGTTGAGCTGAAGTTTTTCGTTGCGTAAAAAAATAGTTGCGTAAAAAGCTGACGGCAGGATTAAGTCACCGAGAACTGCAGCCTGTTCATCCAAATAAAATCAAAATCCCTTGAATGTTTTCTTTCTGTTATGACATGGCTTTAGGATTTATGACTTAGCGCGGTGGTTTATTTTTGTTACTGAGGCAAATAGTAAGCCAACGTATCACGACAATACGCGCTCCTAGTATATGTCACATGCGAGGTCACTGAGTAGCGCAGTTAAATGGAAACTGGGTTTGAAAGGAAAGTCCCTGGAAAATTTCCAATTCTTCCGCATTTAGAACGAACAAACTACATGACTTTTTTTGTATAGAAGAAACCAAACTTATTGCACTGTGCTCTCTCTTAGTTCATGCTATAAGTTGTTGCATATTCGAATGGAAGTGATAAAATGGAAGAACAGGCTGAAATAACCTTGGCATATTTCGCAATTTGTACACATTTTTACTGAGTGCGAAATCAACAAATGAAAGTTTCTGACACTTGACCTGTTCATGATACAGACGAAACCGCAATCCGATGCGATACCGAAATACATCTAGTTCTCTTTTCAGGTTGAGTCATAATTCACATGAAAAGAAAATAGGCCTTACGGTACAGGAGAGTGTTTACTGAAAAATGTCATCATAATCCTTTATATCCCTTATCATAATAATCCTTTTCCCCTTATGTAACCGTTTCAGTGGCATTAATTACAAAAAAAATATAAAGATATAATGGACATGACACACCCAAACGACTTTTTGAAAGAAAACTGAATTTCACCAGTTGGATAATGGACTTTAAAGGTGTTTGTAATATTGACATTCAAAAACAGCTCCGAGTCTTCTGCAAACACATTGATATTTGAAAAGTTACCATAATGAAAAATGAGATTTAAAAGATGACATATCCTTATTGTCCAGGTGCACAGCGGAAATTATTATGCCGCGCTTCAAGCAATGATATTGACCAGATGCGGAAGTTAGATTTCAAAGTAATTTTTCCCTACTCATGTTTTACTCTCCTGCAGTTTGTCAAATCAATTATATGTCGACACACATAATAGTCCAGATAACTCAGTACACTAAGTGCTCATGTGGTTGTTTGATTTTAAAATGCTTAAAAACGGTTTCCTGAATCAGCTAAAACAAATTAAATCTTCTGTTCGCGTCGTACAAACATTGGATCAATTTAAATTTGTCCGGCAATATCTATAAATCTGGAAAAGTGAGCTAATAAGGCACTATACTTTAATTGCCAATGTAACTGACACCTACACATCCGCTGAAGACAACTCCAAACGCTGTCATTACATCAGCACTTCCCGTAGTGCGGAAGACATTTTCTAGGCCTGGCTCATCTCTCCCCGGCTTCAGGAAAATATGATTTAACTTAGAGGAAGGTTTCAATCAAGGGGTTGTTATAAGCCTGTTGCACCTAAACAACCAGGCCTCAGTCTGGATTCTTATCACTTCATTTATGTCAAACCAAACGCACCAAGAGCTAGGGATGCAGGATTTCGTTGGGGTGGATTAACTTGAGCTGGCCTGAAGCTGCGTCTTCTTTTAACATGAGTTGTTCAGTTATCTGCGTCAGTATACCACCTGTTTTGTTCCGTCACATAAGGCCTAACTCGGGATTGTAATAATTTCTCTCCATCCACTTAGGGCGATAAGCGCTTCAATTCGATCCAAGTTATCTTACGGGTGACGGTGCACATAACAAGTTATTAATATGTGCATGTAAACAACATAATGTACTATAGGTCTATCCCATAACAGCTTTAGGTGTCTGACAACAAGAATTGTTCAGGTTACTGACCGCCTGACCGACTAGTACTAAACTGGTGAAGACCCAGTGCTTTCACCTTTAGACAAGCCCACTGGGACCGTCCGTCTCGACTGAATGGTGTTTGTGGAGATGAAACTATCTCCCATGGTGCACGCAGTAATTGAGGAGACCCTCTCTCATCCCCCAAACGGGGTCAATTTTGAATCAAAGGTCACTTTGAAGGGGTGTTTTCCATCGACGAGGTGCAGGCTGTGCCATACTGCAAAACAGTCGTGACTTCACAGTTACATATTGTCACACATGGATTTAAAGAGGAAGAAGATGTTTTAAGCACAATTTTTTGCCCACGGAATACACTTGTCATCGTTGTCTATCCTACCATCTCCCAAGGCGTGTCTTTTCTTTAAATTGAAACAGCGTTCCGTTTCCGGAGGGTGCATTCTGTCGTCCCAGCGGTCTCGCCGAAGCCCTCTGGAAATGGATGCGTCAACTTTGCGAGATATCCGGCTGTCGAAAACAAAGTTCCGTTGGGAGGAATCGGCATGTCATCGCACTTCCCTTTTTGAGACCAGTGTTGTCCGGTGTACCGTAGATGATGACTTCTGATCGCCCAAATCCACGGAAACGCCCCCAGCGTTGCAACTGTAACACTGAAGGGCAAAGTTCCGTCGCCTATGTCAACCGTAACAACACGGATATGACTTTAGCAGATCCGAACCATAACAGGTGCAGAAAGATGTGATGAATCTTCAGTGTCTGGTCAAAAATCTCTTCATGAAGATTGAAAATGCGAGTCAAAGCAGAAGTTTGTTTATTAGTCATGCCCACACAAAAGAGGAAGTGACATTCCTTTTGGTAATTCCCTATGGTACATTAAAAGTCAAACATGATTATAAACCTTCTTGAGGACAGACACAAGTGCAACTTATTTCAATATCAAGGTTCCTTGTATCCAGCAAATAATCGGCTGGACAGAAGTATTATCCTCGAGTAATTCTTTAGCCTCGAATAATGCTAATTATACAGTCATTGCCCTTGACATTTTGATAAAATGAATAAAAAACATTCACGCGAGGTTTGTTTTTTCCTGAGTTTTGGTTGCCAAACAAAGTAAACTTTGGAGAAACTCACAACAAAAACGAACACCGCCCCATTTCCCAAAGGTAATATTGCTTCACACGGCGATGTTATTTTTAATTCCAATAACATTCAAGTATTTCTGTATTTTGTTGAGTGACAGAATGGGGGGGGGGGGGGAAAGGATTATTAATCAAACACTTGTGCTGTGTTGCACAAAGTTCTATGCATCCGAAAAGTATAGTTTTAGGAAAGTGACATGTTGAGGTTTTTTTCCGTTTAAATCGAGTCCGACAAAATGCATACAATTCCGATCAGTATACATTCCTAACATATACTCTACACGTTATATGGGGCCTACCATAAAAAAGGTGGTCTCTTGCTTTTAATTCTTGTGGGACCATATCTCCAAATTTTGCAGGGTTACTCACCCTATGTCGCATGTAAGATCGGAAGCAGATTTTTCTCGGATACTTAATATGATGACTGATTTCAGCTATGGTAAATCTCTGAGGTTAAAAAGCGTCTGCAGGGATTATACCTATGTTTCTAATGTTTAAAGAGAGGTTTCCGTCAGTTTCAAAAGCTTTAAGTTTTTAACTTTCCATTTTGCACTTAATTTTCTGTCATTAATCAATGACATCTACTTGCGAATGTAATATTTTGTATACGAGAAGGTCACCTCTCATGGGCAGCAACTACGGTATCCCCGAAAGGACGCGAGGCAGTTCAGAATGTAGCAGCTGGTGAGCTCTATGTAGCAACCTGGACGGGCAAGTTGCCAAATGGGTCATTCCATCTGAATCACGTAAAGCCTTACAGCTGTTGCTATCGGGATTCAATCCCTGTAAACATTCGGTGCACGCGTGCCGGTTTTAGACGGGCTTAATAATTGACATAACGTGGGGCTGTGAGACTGCGATCGGACAGATAGTGAAATTTAGGTTAATTTTACTTCCCTTTCTGGGGTTCGTCAAAGGTTTTTACGTTTCAACCCCCTCCCAACTCCAACACAAGGAGTACAAGGTATACAAGTACACTAAACACAAAACACTGTTGCTGGTTAGCGGTAAGCTTGTCCTCTCTTTAACCTCCTTGACTCATTGTTTCTAGCTGGAATATTTCGCCATAAAAGCTCATCGCTACTTATAAAAGACTTATAACAGACATTTTCTCCTGCAAAATTATCTCTAACACGGAAATTCTATATAAGGACTAAACATACTGAGTAAGAAAAAAATAGACTACACAACTTGTAATTTGACATCAAGTGTAAAATTGTACTGTTCTTTCTGATATACAAGCTTGAATAGCAGTTTGGAACATGGGTTACATTATCTGAACCAAGCCGCATAGTCTTAGAGGTGAATAGTGTCGGAATTAGGAGACCAAACCTAGTAGTTTTCTTGGCCCGCTATGCCTCCCTGTAATTTTCCCAAATGGCCAATAAAAATAAACCGAACTGTGTGAATTCAATCAGTCTTGGAGCTCGAGGCTTCAAATTTTTACAAATCTACTACTTGTTATTAGGGATTAAAATCCACGAATACCATGAGTAGTGTCAATGATAAGCATTTCCTCTTCTCAAGACAACAGCAAAGGGTGCAAATTGATATCGGAACGGTTTGTCTTTTGTCCGGGGGCGTTGCCAGGAGGAGTACCAGGGGTCTCATGAATTACAACACATGGAAACGTACGTTTCCTGTCTATCGCACTGAGTAATGTTAAGAGGGGTCTGTGATCACACAATGGGGAAATAAAACAGAAAATAAGATGTTTTCACATTGCAATTGTAATTTTGGCGAATGTGGGGTCTTTGTCAGACAAGGATTTCAAAGCCAAAACACCCCGCTTTTTCTCCCTGGTGGAATATCGGCTTTTTAACTCTACAAACTGTTTGCGTTTAGAACACTATCATGAAGTTGTCATATCAATTTCGTTTCAGGTCCAACAGAAACCGAAGCTAACACTACATTTTTTTTTACAGTGGTGTGATGCCTCTTTTCAGTGACAAGACATTAACACGTTTGCCCCATATAAACTGAAACATAATATTGCAGCCGCTTCCATTTTAAATCAATAACACACACAACTCAACAGAAGCGTGATAAGGGTTATCACTGACGAATTTATGTTACCTTTCCCAAAGGCGAAATTCTAATAGTTTCCCTTTATCTTATTTCCGTGTGACTTAGATTCGACGAAAAAGCAAGGCTTTCAACGCCAAGTTGCAGGAAGGCGATGAAGTCCTCAGTGTCAACGGTCGAAACGTTCGCAACGTGGCACGTGACATCGCTATGGGTTACGTGGACAACGCCATGGATACACTTGACCTAGAACTTGTCAGGTATAACTAAAGATTGCAGCAGGTGCCGACAAAATGTGACGTTTACTCTCGACTGCTTTACTTTGTTCTCTATCCACATATGACGATTTTCACATTATGTGCACTGTTTTTATTGGGGGAAAAACTAAGGATGTAATAATTTCTTTAGATATTTTGAAATGTTCCCCTTTTCTTTTTAACAATACTGAACTTTCGGTTTGGGTTTCTTTTGACAGGTGCTTCGACAAACAAACATACTTATCAATGATAGGCTACTTGAAAATGAAACCATCTTTACTTGACGAGCTTGTAGCAAGAGGCATCCATGATTAACTCGTTCAGTGAATAAAATACAGGCTTGGCCTAGCAATAATTAAATTTTCCAGTTGCTTTTTTTTTTTTAAGTATTCACCAAATCATTTCAAAGTCATTAATCTGGGTTGGTAGAAGATTATTCTAAAATGATTGACACCACAGCGTCATCAATTCGTTGCTTACAACGGAACATTTTAAGAAGATCTTTTCGCGCCATTATTTTTGTCTGCGTAATCTACTCAGCTTTGCTCAAACAAGAGGCAGATGCATATACTAAGATTTATATACCAGTTATGAGTCGTTTTTGTGCATAATTTCTATTTTGTAGACGCGGCACTGGTGCTCCAACCATACCAATCAACGCCTCATCCACAGAACACATGAATGGTAACACGGAGATACGCCGAGTACCAACTTACCAGATCACGACACCAAGACAACCAGGTACAACAAACTTTTGTTGAAATGATTTTACACAAAACAGAACTTCCTTCTATCGATAAAATTTTACAAAAAAAAGTATAATAAGCTCGGTCATGGTATCGCAGTATCGAAAGTTTTGCATAACTACTTTCCAATTAAACATTGATATACCTGGGCAGAGGGCGTAAGACTATTAAAATAAGGCCGAGAAGTTTAACGGACATGACTTCACTCAAGTGTCACCTTAAAGAATAACAAGACGTTGTCGGGTAAACAAACGAAAAAATTTCAAACCTCTTTTCCATATGAGACATCCGACTAACAAAAAAGACGTCAATAGAGGGCGCAGGGATTATTCACTCAAAATAATTACAGAAGAGTGTGCATCACTAAGTTGATCCCACGTTGTGGCAATATTCACACCTGTTCCGTAAACTTGACAGCAAGAAATAACCATTTAATCGCATCATCATCTTCCAAAGGTCAAAAGCAGACATCTACAACAACGCATGTGCAGACCAGAACCGATGGAGGCGTGACGGAAGAGACGGTGACTAAGACGATCACAGAACGGATGGGGGAGGAGGCGAAGACGACGACAAAACGTGACGTCAAGACGTACGGAGCTCCACAGGAGTCTACTGGCGGCACAGGTGAAGCCAAGTGATTTTATTTCACCTTGATTGCGATCGGATGGGGGTCTGTGATGACAGTAAATAATCCCCGAAGTTGCAACAAATTGAATTGAACCACTGGAATCGAATTGTTATCTCTCGCTACAACGGCATCCTCATGTAAAATAGAAAATAACACTAATTCCAATGTCCGGAGAGAGAAACCTGTCCGAGTTCTAAGAACTGTGTAATCTTACCACAATGTATGTAAAAGTACAAGGTTATGCTGTACAAGGTTATGCTGTATAGAAGGTAACACACGACTCGGAAAGATTAGAACACTTTGGAAAGTAAGTAAAGTACTGATGGGAATAAAGCTATTTTAGCAAGCTATTAAAATTGTAAAACTGCCGAGATAATCCAAAATCTAAAAGTTACACCTTAACGCTATGCGTTTGAGGCATGCACACGGCTTATCAACGCCTTCGTTGGCCATTTTACATGACGCCGCAAGAAAACAACAAGCTGTCAAGTTACATACAAAAAGCTCTTTGCTTAACATTAGCTGTCACTGTTCCTATTTTGGTCCCTCATTGTGGACCTGATGATTGCCATAAATTGTTGTTGACGAGACTTTGTGAACCACCTGTGTCCAGCGATCATTTGTAAATTATTTTTACACCTGTTTCAGGAATGGGTCGGCAAGCAGGAGGCAGTGCCGTCACCTTTCACGCCCCCAAGATCAACGTGGCGGCCAAACCAGCCGTCTGGTCCCCGCCAAGCAAATCGCAACCCGCCAAGAAACCCCAATTAGCGTATTCCAGCAGTGCGCCTGCGCACACCACCACCACGGCGCATGTGCAGTACACCGCAAGCCAGCCGACGAAACCCAAGACGCCCTTCTTGGAGAGCCAGCAGGAGCAGAGCGCTCCATCAAAGCCGATGCGCTGGGAGCCTCAGATCCACTACTCGACCACGCCCAAGATGGTGTCAGAACCTTCATCCACCACTACCTGGAGCGGCTCCGTGAGCGGACCAAGACGGACATCCGTGGGGCAGGAAGTCACCATCACCTTCGCTCCTCATGGTCTTGTTGCCAAGAGGCCCTCCACCGATAGCGGGACACCTGCAACACTCATCACACCAGTTAAGGAGGAACCGGCCCATGTGTCTACGACGATCGACGTCCATAAGAAACCAGTCTACAAAGAAGAGCCAACAGTCATCTTAAGACGAGCAGCACCGCCTCCTGGCGAGCAGGGCAAGAGTACACTTGATGAGCCAGACAGTAAGTTTAAGGGTTTTTTTCTACATGTCCAAAACAAGCTATGGTTGTTTAATTGACACGCAACCGTGGCCACAGATGCGAATTTAGAATGTCATTATTTCCCCTAAGTCATTAGTTTCATAGCGGTGACAGACGCTTCCTCGGTAGGTTGTTTGATTGTGCTTAAGGCTCTGGTTACTTCAGGGTGTTGAGCAAATTTGGCAATGAAAACAAAAACGAAATTCACCCAGTAGTTTTGCGTGTGAAATAAAAGACATGACTAGCTACAAAGCTTAGAAGTATTTTGTTCGCCCTGAAAGAACCGCTCGTGACAATGTTTTCTCTGTCCGGTCTAAGGAGTATGACCTCAGTCTTGAATTCATTCCACCATGCAAAGCTATACAAATCATGCAACTATATTTATGAGCATATAAAGCAAACACGATCTTTATTTTTTGTTTGTTTCAGTGAAGCGGCCATATTCGTATCCGGGCAAACACTCAGAAGATGATCCAGAGATCAGCACTGAGATGAGAATGAAAGCATGCAAGACCATCGCTGACCTGCTCATGTTCCCGGCCGACAAGCACGCCAAGGGAGCCCGGATGTTCGCCAAACGGCGCAAGCGCAGTGACCGCTGGTCGGTCGAGGGCATGGGTCAAAACATCAACGAGGAGGAGGAAGAGGAAGAGGAGCAAGAAGACAGAGGAGTGGAGATCACTTTGGTTGCGTCTGGAAGAAGGCCTTTGCCTCCTGGAGCTGTACCCATTGGGATGCCTTTGCCGCCACCACCTCCACCACCTGAGCCAGGCAAGCCTTTTATCCCTCAGGCTCCCCCACCACCCCCGCCAGGCACCAAGTACAGGCTCAAGGTGGAGCCCACAAACTTCAAAGTCAACCTGAAAAAGAAAGAGGTCTGTGAGCACAACATCGTCAGCCCAGAGGAAATGGGCCGCCTGGTCGTGGACTTGAAAGCAGCCACTGGCAGAGGGGCTAACATGTTTGAGAGGCGCCGCCAACGATCAGATCAGTACGTCATCGATGAAACCAATGTCAAACCCCCACCGGTCTTGAAAAAGACACCCAAGCCCAAAGGAATCGCCACGGCCACTGTTACCATGAAGCAGGATAACCAAATGCATTTCCCAAAGAAATCCCCCTGGGAAGCAGCAATGGAATCGCCCTCGGGCAGTTGCGATGCAGCGTTTCAACACATACAGAAGAAGAGACCATCCTTCTCGCAGGTGGACAGTCCATCGAAGGGGCACGGGCCTCCCCCACTAACCAAACCCAAACCGCACACAGCTCGCATGTCTCACGAGACACTCTCAAAAACTCAGTCCGACCCGCCCCTAATCAGGCCGAAGCCTGTCCCGCAGCTTCCAAAAGAATCCGGCTCGCCGATTTTCAAACCCCAATTCAAAGCCAGGAGGGTGTCTTCAGAGAAAGGTCAAGGAGGTCAAGACTTCAACCCCAAGCCTCGTGGCTGGAATTCCCCGATGAACTCTGGAGAGACATCTCCCACATCAATGAACTCCGCCGAAGACGGTAGCTTTGGCCCCGTCAGGCCAATCAGATTCGGCTCGGACTATAATCGGAAGCCTCGTGCATGGGCAAGTTCTGAGACCACTGTAAATGCCGCCGCCAACGGCAGACCGGCGAGTTACCAATATCCTAAGCCCGCGAAATTCGCCGTACATCCGGGACGTAGTGAGACTGGTGACCTTTGATCCTTTGAGGAGCATCACGTATTGCGCATGCTTGTGATATTTTTCTTGGATATAATTGCTGTGATTGTGAGTAAAATACCAGACGTTTAAACCCTGTTTTTTATAATATGCACCTTGTTTATTGTCAATAACATAATTATTCAAAGTATAGGGCCTACTAGGCATAATTAACCCAAACTGAAAATTCACGATTGTTTATAAAGAGAAACCTCAAAATCTCTGTAGATGTTAAGCACTCTTAATTTATATTTTAAATAATACAAATGTGCATGTACAGGGAACGCGGTGTTCAAATTTATAACCAGTAGGAATGCAGTTGTAATATTATACTGAGCACTTACATTTAATCCTGTACAAATTTGTTCACTTGTGTTTGAAAAATCATTGCTCAAGTTTTGTAAACTACCACGACCAAAAGGTCAACAAAAACTAATTGTAAGTTAAGAATTAATTGTCGAGAGCTTTAGATCGTTATTGTTAATATAACTATATGCACGTCAGCATGTATATTGCTTTCAGTGCACGACAATAACCAAGTAGATTTGGTTAAGTAATTAAAAATTTAGACCGAGCATTGTCAGGCTAGTTCCCCGTTTGCTGAAAATATTTACAAAGGATTGTTTCGCTTGATTTGATAAATGTACATCTTCTGAGTTTTATAAACCTTATGTATAAATTATTTATTGTGTTCATCATAAATATAAAACCATACCGGAGGCACCATTAAGGAAAACATATTTACTGAATTCTATTTCACAGGCAGCGACAACTTCGATTGTTTGATTGATTTGTTCAAAGCTGGCAAAATTCAAGGACTGTTCTAAAACATCTGCAAACAAAATAAGTTTGCATTCTAACAGAAAGACGATTTTCATAGCACTATCCTGACTTCAATGTGTCCGAAAATGTATTTTTTTTTTTTTAAGAATTGCTCAACTAGTAATAATAAAGCATATTTCATTAGATCTGAAGTATTTATGGTGATGCGTTTGATGGGATACGGGGGAAAGTGTGGTGATTTTTACGGACAGGTGTTTTGGCGCCAAATACAGTTTCTTGGGCTGAATTTTCATGCAAATATTTTCAACACTAACCGTATCATACTTGTCTTAAGCCATGACAGTTTGACAAAGACTATTTGCAGAAACAGTACAGCTTCTAAGTTCAAACCTTTTTCTATAAGCTTGGAGCTTGTTAATGCAAAACAAAACAAAACAAATCAAAATCAAGATGGCGTACCGTGATTGGATCTAGAATGAGTTCGGGCTTGCAAGATGATAATTTGGTACGGAAGTAAAATGATGAAGGTTTAAGTGAGGCGCTTATACGATGGAAAAGTTTCTCTTTCATGAAACAATTTGACCAACTTTGTGGTGACAATAACTACGCTGTAATGGACGTCTTTCAGCATATCAGTTGCGAGATGACGAAATTGACGTCACAGTTACACCTTCCAACAAACACCAAAACAAAACACAAAACACTATACGGCGATTAGTTTGCGGTTATGCTAACGATTGCAATTCCAACGCCACGTCAGAAAATTGGTTTTGTACTAGTTTGATAATCATCATATGAAAACTTAATACAGAGAGCGGGTTTGGAGAGAATGAAAGCCCGTGCAGCTATCGGACGTTGAAGGATGCATTATCCCCAAACGTGATTCTGTAATTTGGCGCAAACAAAAAAAGAGCAAAAATGTCAAGGTTCGATGTTGATATGAAAGAAATAAAGATAGCATCTTAAAAAAAATTATATCACAGCTTGTAAAGTTTACATACACAAAAGGGTGTATGCGGGGATATCAATGAGTTTTATAGGGTGGTTAATGGAATGGTGAAATTTATTTTATGCTAGAGTTAGAGAGTATAATAATAGTCAAACAATGTCTTACATCTGACGCACTCTATACTCAATGTGCGCAAGCAAGTACGAGTAAGGCACCGTACTGCATCCAATCAATGAAGAGAATGTAAATAGAAGACCTCTGAGTTAAGAGGAAAACGTGCACACTCCATTGTGAAGTGGATCTGCATGAATACGAAGAAAAATCAACTCGGATGTTGTCTTAAAAAAACACTGGCAGTGTAATAATACTAATAATCGAACTGGCAGCATGTCAGTTTAGGCCTACCATGAAGACTGTTTGTAAACTCTGAAGTGATTTCGTTGAAATGTTTTGGACACCTCTTTTCAATTCAACTGAAGTGTATAATTACCGGCATTGACAGTTTTTTTAGTTACTCGATTGTATTCCTACAGAAGAAAAGACTTTGTGATGATTAGAGAGCAAAAAAAAAAGAAATAAACAAATAAACAAACACAATCTTACTGTTTCGCATTGTAATTTCTTCTTTCCCCTAGCTATGCCCTTTCTACACCTGCGTCACGTCTTCAAAGGCCTTCAACGCCCTCCCACCACGTTGGCGATACAGTACGTCAACGATCTTTATCAGCAGTCCAAATTCCATTTCAAATTAATAAACATTATAAATGTAACACCGTCTCACGTCTGCCCATTCCAAATCGCGTAAAATCCCATTAGTTCGTTTCTCGCCTGGCCCCGGGTTTAGCCACCGTGAAGTGGTATTCGGTCAAGGAGACATTGTGCGTCGTAAGTGGCACTCTTTACTGAGGAATTCCCCGTAAATACAGGATATGGGGAAATTAAGGACATGGCGATGGGAGTAAAAACAATAAATTTGTAAACGAGAAACGGAAAAAGATAGTGACGAAGGCAAACTACAATTTCTGGAATTGAGACGCTCTGAAATATCGCTTCGGGTGTCTTCACAAAGTTGGAAATCCCCCACTTTATGGTACTGATTTTCGCCCCTCTTAATAATATAATTGGTAAAAATAATATTGTTAAATCAGCATGTATTTTTTTACCTATTTCTTAAAAACACAAATGTTTAAAGGCTTTGGAAGGTTGACAAGACACATGTTTTTATTTATAGATTCATTGGTGATTGGGTTATCGGAAATTACCCAAGTTTCCATCTGATCAATCCACTTCCCGACGACTTCCGATCGGGCGCTCGACTGCTCGGATGATGAACTCGTACAACCGTAACCTTTGACCTATACATGGTACAAAAACGTCTCTGGTATGATGAATGGTCGAGTGAACGGAAAAGGCATTACGAAACAGAGGCTCTGTTTAGGAAACGACAACAGATAGAATCCCATAATCATCTTATCAACATTTAAAGGAGTTTTCCAAATAAGTTTCGAAGAAACTTCCAAACTTGCATTAATAAAATATTCAGCGTAAAGTAAAAAGGACTTGAAGAATAATCCAAAAAACTTCTGTTCAATAATATTCAGAGCAAAAATATTTGTGGGATGAGAAAAGTGTTCAACTTTTTAACTTATACAAGACGCACAAATTGACATCTGTATCAGTTTGGCCAGGCCACCAATTTTCATACCACACTGAAAGTTGAAATTGTCACGCACACGTCAAAAAGTTAAAATTGCCCGCATTTCATCTGACATTTTGCAAAATGCGATAAACTGCCTTTAAACCTCACAATCGCATTACTTCGCGCATCGAGCTGCGAGAGTAGAATTATTGTGTAAAGGCCATCTTAGAGGACGCTGCATGATATATTCACTTCATAAAAAAACCGTGTATATCCCCATTTAAATATAAACACAGTTTTTTTTAAAAGCCTAAATCAAGTGCAAATTTATTTTATATAAAATAACGAACGGTACAACTACACTCAAACAAAGAAGCAGAGGGACGGTCATTCGCATTTTATTCTGTGAGGTTTTGCTTCGGGTTATAACGTAAGCACACAGTTCCTCGTAATGTTTGTTACTGTTTGCGGTCACGGTGGTGACGTGACCAAGTCTGTGAGGTCAATAGTGTCTGTGGTGAAACTGAAAACCTCATCTGCCAAGAGACCGAGCCGCCACCACATCAGACACTGTCGCTCTAAGGCGCGGACACCAACTCAAAACCAACCCATGCCCAAATTTGGAAACCCCGACGCGCATATATTACCGGGCACCAACCAGCGCTGGAACATACCCAGCATTCTACTGCAACACCCTGCCTACCAGGTTGCTGATAGCGATAGGACCAGACAGTGGATGATATGAGAGGTACAGTGATGATAATCTGAACATAGACATCACCAGAGCGAGACTTCAGTACTGGTCTTCAAGGTCCATCGCCAGTCTCAGTCCACCTTCGACCGGCCCGTGACCGGGCCTAGGTCCAGGGGTCCCATCCCATCACTGTTTGGAGGACAGATTTTGTCAGAACAAGGTGGAGATCTCTCTACTCTAGGAAAACGAAATTGCTTGGACAATAGACTCACCACGAAGAGAAAGGTAAGGTTCATTTTTCGTATGAAGAAATTTGGCTCGGCTACCAAAGAGTTATTCCTAGAAAAGTGTCTCCGATTTTTCTCTCTCAATTCTCACATAATGGCACTAAATGTTTCAATAATATGTCTAAAGAGATGTCCAATAATTTCATCAAAACATTGTCATCACACATTTCCTAGCTCTAACCAATCGCAAGAGAACATCATTTTTTTCTCTGAGTAGTTATACTGTCTTATTCCCCAGTGTAGGAATACGATGCATTAATGGTGTGGTTATATGGCATTATTTTCCAAGCTTGCCCGAAGCATGAAATAATACGCGCATTTTTTTTCTACAAAGTAAAACTGACAACTTTTTTTTTTGGCAAGACGGCAATTGCTCAAATACCTTCCAGCATTTCGACGACTTAAATCACAGAGTGAATAAATTCAATTGATAACCAACAATCAAATGGAACAAGAGCCTACTTTTTTCTTCTAATACGTTTTTGATGCCTTATTCAAACAAATTAATCATACATTTTAATAAATGCTTGACTAAAACATTCAGTACTTATTTCGGACCCCAGTCTGAAATGGAGTATTGAAGATACATATTTACATAATTACATCAGTATGATCTTGGTCACTGATGCATATAGCGTCCTATGATCATCCTGATATTGCCACATGGTGGCATATCATTGTATACCAGTAATTATAAAAGTCTGATTGCAAAAATGAAATGAATCGGGTCTGCTGTATAAAGTTAGAGAAGGTTTATATGTGATGATTGTTGATGATGGTGATTGTGGTAATGATAAATTTAACGGAGCATTGAAGAGGTTTTTTTCATGAACAGAGCAAAGTCTCACTTGCTCATGCACAACTGGTACAGTAAATGTCATGTCTGTGTTTGCATAGTCTAATTACTTTCACCAAACCAGATGGCCAGTCTCACATCTCAGACACACATGCAGTTTACGAGGCACGGAGAACCATTCTACCGTCTCAAGGAAATGAAACCAAAAGTAATTTTCTCCAAGGACCATGCGAGATACCAAATTAGAATCTCGATCTCTTCTGCAAGAGTGACAGTCAGTCGGCAGTATTCAATTGCGTGCAAAGAATATCGAGCGCGCATCTGCTTTGGCGCGGTCTCCTAAACCAGTTTCTTATAGTTTTGAAAAGGGCAAAGAAAGTGCATTCATCGCCTCACACCACCAGACTCTTAATTCCAGAGTAATGTTAATTTCAGAAAGGCCCCTTGGGGAGTCTTCACGCGAGAGCTATAGAGTTACCCGCGGGATGTGTTATTTCTTGTGACAACTGTATATACAAATCTATGGGCGATTATTTGGAATGCATGCTGTGTGCGGTCTGCCTGGTGCCGAACGTTGTGATATCACATTTGAATTATATAACTTAGCCTGAGGGTCTTTTTGACAATTATCACGTTTCTAATTATTACATGCAACATCAAGTCAGATAATTTGAGACAGTGTCGATTTAAATCTGTTCCCTCTGTAGTAATTCATTTTCTTATAAATAAATATATTGAACACAAATATTTAATTGCATAATTTACAAAACACCTTTGAATTGTGATTGTTTTTTTTGTTTTTTTACCGATTTGCACTTCAGATCCTGTTCATTGTCAAGTATAATTAAGTTGAACTAAATTAAGCATAAGTTAATTCCGATTCTTGGCTCATATAAAATGCAAAACTAATGACATACTTCAATAATAATGCTTTGCCTTAAATTTGCAAACAAAAATTAACAGTGTTTGTTAAAAATTATCCGTATAGGAGAGTGGTCAAGTAAATCCAAGAAATTTTGGCAACAACAAATACCGTTCTGCCCCCCTACAAATAAACCCTTTATTTCCAATGACTGCATTAAATTATGAGTCATGCTTGCACATTTCCCCTGACAACAAAGACATGTTCCACCGCGGGTTTCCCAGAATATTTGTCACCGTGAAAGCATGTGCCCCCACTCCAAGGTTATGGTACCGCTTTCTTGCAAAGAGCAAGGGTTAACTTGAGAATACCCTGGGGTCTCAAAGGTCGTCTTCTGATGGTTAGAGAGTTCCTTGTAATGCCTGTGGTATGTGACAAGAGCGTGGAGCAAAACTGATTTAATTGTATCATAACTGGACATGGGTGAAAGTTATTGGCAGTCTCGATGACAAGTATGTGAGTGCTTATGCCGAATATGACAAAACAGTTCCTCTCTCGAAAGGTTTTACCTGTTTACCAATTTTGAGGGGTAGATTTATCAAAGTATGTACTGTACCATCATTTAAAAAATACACTGATACACGACTTATTACAACTGCTTTACTCACACTCCCATTACTTCATTTCAAAAAGACTAAAAGGCGAGACACTTCATTTTGCTAAAAGAAGTCTGGTTGACTAACAGGCCTATAAATTTGGAAAGAATGCTGTGAGTTATATTTTTAAGCGGATTGGGATCGCATTTCAAATGTCATCGACCTCCAATGTGTAACAGTTCATTCATGCCACTTCCTACGATCATATTCCGTGTGATTCATGTGTTATTGTGAGTAAACACCGTCTCATTCCCACCTACGATTTCAAGGAGTTTCCTGTCAAACTTCCAAACATTACTTCACACATTTGGCTTTTGCATGTTACGAGGGGGAAGGAATGTCAACTTTGAACTGACAGGTTGTTCATCAACCGACTAGAAGGAAGTGAGGTGATACAAATCCGAAAAGGAAATTTGTTTACACGCGGAAAAGGCACACGTGCTGCAGACGCATGACATTGGTAACAATAATTGAGTTCGCATCTGTGATGCTCAATTTTAAGCGAGATTGCTTTTCTCAAACGCTGTGACTTTCATCTTTCCTATCTGTTATTTGTCACGCTTGCATTCCTAAATAGATTAATCTTGTAGATCACAATAATATGTACTGCTGCGCGGCAAATTCCAAACCAAACAAATTGAAGATAATCCCCGCTGCTCCGGTATTCGTAAAATTGGAAGATTTTATAAACTTGACAAAACAAAATGAACGGTTACGACCGAAGAGGTCGTGAACTTGGTTCGTTGCCTCGCTATTTTGATAATTACCGCCTTGCCTGGGTTTGCCTTTAAAAAGTATTACAATTCACAATTGACTGTTCTTTTCTCCACTGATTCGTTTACTTTTTCATTTATTCTCAATTAACTCAAAGACAATTTCAGTGACTGTACGTGCTTCTAATGTAAGCAGGAAATAAGTTTGAGTAGTGGTGAAGAAAGACAGTGATGATGATGTTGGGTGAATGTAATGGGATCGGGTTACCGAGCCCGTGGGAGGAGGGTTCGTGAAGAGGCGAATAGTGGTTTCGTGGAAGTACAAGAGGTGGGAAGTGTGGTAATGGTTTCGGGGGAGTGTTTTGAAAGAGTGAGTTGTACGTGTAGTTCTAAATTACAAAACCATAATGTGAGCATTTAACCACAAAATGAAGAAATAGGGATCTTGAGTGAAAGACAATCTTTGTTTATGGTGTTACTCAGAAAATAGTGATGCACTTATTCATAAACTGTTTCATCTTTTTTATGTTTTGCTGCAGATCGAAGATGGAATAGCAACACCTGCTTCACCTATTCACACAACAGAGCATAATATTGATATCACTTCAGGCCACCTGCTATCCAACCTGCATGTGGCCCCAGTACGCCCAAGAGTACCACCCGGTAGAGCTACACGAGCTTAGCTTGGAAGAACTGACAGGAACACGCCCCTCTCACAGGGGCGCGTTGATGTACCTGAAGCAAAAGGGGATACCAGAATACACAGTACAGTTCAAAGACACAGGCCCACAGATAGGACACTTGAGGAAGCTAGTCAAGGCGATCGAGCACGATTTTTACACCGGTCCTGTGACCAGACACCCAGAGGTTCAACCACCACCTGGGAGGGGCGTACGACTAAGGCCAAGGGACATCATCGGAGGACCATCGCAGAGTCAGAGGTACAATTCCAGTAGACCCATGGCGAGCCGCGAGCTGATGACGGGGAGGAGGGATGGTCGAGCGGCAGCTCTGTTTCAGAGAATGAAGGACAGGTCTGATCAGTATGTTGTCGAAGAGTCTCCAGGACAAGGGTATTACCAACAACAAGATCCATATGGTGTAGACGCCACAGATCGAGGGAAGCGGCCCTGGCAGAGGAGCCCATGGGAGGAAGCTGCCGAACACCCTCTAGGTCTCCCAGATAGGGCCTTCGAGCCGCCTGTACCCAAACCCAAACCAAAGCCTAAACTACAGAATCCAGCCCAAGTCCAGAAACGAGGGCCGCCTGGTTACAGTCAGGTCGACTCCATCCGCCAACGCCAACAGGCTCCCCTGAAGCCCGGCAACAAACCCGTCAAGATCGGGTGCACTTGGAAGGGAGAGACGAGCAAAATGAGGTTCCACTCTGGAGTCCAGCCCTACGAAATGGACTTCAACCGGACTGCCCGCGGATGGAGTCCCGGTCACATTCAAACCGACCATCACCGTGACAACTTCAACCAGCGTCCCACATCTTGGGGCTACGAGGAGGATCAATATTCTCCAGGAGGCCGTCAGAGAGCTGCCGAGGTTGCTCGGTCGAGGCAGATCGTTGGGAACATCGTTGGGCCAAGTTCTTGGGGAGGCGAGAGCGACGACTTATAATACTCTTGCTCTTAGTATAGTCGATTGATTGAAACATTTTTATCGCCGTTGTTATAAATAAACCTTGTGATGTCTCTCTTATGGGATTTGACTGTAGTGTTTGTTTAACTAGATGAGATAGACAGTTTTGGACTCTTGTGCGAAAAGTGCAAGACCCGTTTGAATCGTCGGGAACTGACAAACTATCAACAAATTTATCGGCGATACATCTTCCTGTCCCTTCACTCAGTCATACTGGAGAAAGCCTGTTGTAGTGTTCTTCGATAAACTTTACTTAAGATTTGTTAAGATGATAATGATTTAAGTTCAAGAATTATTTTTAGTACATTTATGTAAACAACTCGATGACATTTACACATAAAAAAATGCTTACTAAACTTTAATTTTCTTCTGGCATTTTGTTCACAAATGTCAAATCATCTTGCCATGGGTTTTGTTTAGAAATGTTTAGAATTTTTGCCAAGATTTTGATGTCAATTTGAAATGCCCAATGTCATTAATTGTGTAACAGCAATTAAGATGTTGAGCAACAACTGTGCGCTAAAATGCCTTTGTACAAAACTATTCAGATTTCTTGATGAAAAAGTAAATCAAGATTTTGATGTATGGATGTAGCTTTTTCGTCCAGCAAATAAAACTTATGTATATTCTTAGTCTTACTAGTTTGGGTCAGAAAAAAAAGTTCGGTGGTAAATCATTGGACGGGTTGTTTGAAGATAAAGAAAAAGTTGACAGCGACATGATACATTTTTGGCAAGAGATTATCTGTAAAACTAAAATAGATGGATGATGAGAAGTGAACGGGAGCAGACTGATTCGAACTTCTCAGCCAGTTGGCGTGGCTATTTACAAGAACACCGGAATAAAAATGGATGTGGAAAATATGACAAATCATGGGAAATGGATCAGCTGCCATACCAAATTTACATGTATGTTATTGCGCATTATAGTGTGAGAATAGGGACAATTTGAATCCTGAAAGTGCCACAGACAATCATTAACATGTGGTAAAAGTTGAGGTAAAAAAAAACATGGATTAAAGGACAATGTTGAGCAGGAAAGTTTCTAGAAATACACAGAATGCAAATGAGTTGGTTAAACGTGTAGGATTAAAGGTCACGGCACGCAGAGAACTTCACCTTTGTTGTTGGGCTGGACAGACTTGATCGCCAAGGAATGAATACAAATTGTGTACTATTTTAGCAGTACTTAGATTTTACAACTTAGTACTTAGATTAAAAACGTCAATTTAGGTATAAACATTGTATTTAATCAAAACTAACAGACTTGTGCTTGCAGTCAGTACGAATATGTTAATTATAAGCTTGTCGTTGATATAGAATTTATCATCAATCAAGCAATTTACAACATAAAAAAGACTTTTCGTTCACGATAAAATATGCGGTGTCAAGGGTGAACCAACTTAAATAATAATTATTTATTTACATTTTTTCCTCTACACCGACTGTATACAGGTGCCTCATTTTTCCACACAGAAAATTCTGTTTGCAGATGCAATAAACGAGCCTTTCGAAATAAATCATAGGCCTAAATATCTCCTTTTTTAGGAATACAAATGTACATGTATTAACCAGACTATGAGATGTTAACTGTAACCTACGTGAAATTGAACATTTCTTAAATATTACCTGGACGATTTCTTTTGATACAACACAACAGAGGAAACTTGGCATGATCCTAATACAAGTCCCGATTTCCGGACGAAACATTTTGACCTTAGCTTAGGGTTTTTTTTTTCAAGATACCGAGCATTTCTTTCCCAAATTATTTTGGCAAATATTTATAACGATCATTAATTATTGTACCGACCTTTAAAAGCACGCAATTGAATCTTATCGACAAAGAGGTTTTGGCAACTCTTGAAAACAGTTAGGCCTACAGCGGGCCAAGGGCAGATCGGGGGGGGGGGCAACGCCCCCCCCCCCCAGCAATAAAGGCTGGCACTACATACACCACCATCTTTTCCTCAAACAAATTTTGTTAAAGTGGTCAGAAATTGACTCATCATGCAGATCGCACCACAGAGCATCTAGAACCCAAAAAAAATTCAGGGCCCTTAAGCAGGCCCCGAACCCCACGCCGCAATTTTTGAACCCACTTTTTGGGGGACCAATTTTTTTTGGCTACCCCCCCCCCCCCCCCCAAAAATTGTGTTAATAAGATGGATCCACCCTTGCAACGGGCCACATTTTGGGACTACTTTAACTACACCGAGTTTGCAAAAGGTTTGGCCTACCTTCCGGTTGAAGAACGCCACATTCTTCACGCTGCTCGCTGCTTGAGATCTGCTGGTTTTGAGCTTGTTCCGTGGTGGGAAAGAGGAGCTGACTTGCAACAATCCGATCACTAAATTCCTGGCTATTCCGTTCGAAAATTGCCCAGTAGGCACAGGAAACAATCCGTCGTTTTTCCCGCTTCGCACTGTACGCCAAACATTGTCCACTGTCCACCTGTTTGTACCGTTGTCTAAAAGTGCAAAATAACTCCAGCTCCTTTTGTAACTCGCCGAGTAACTCTGTGCTGCTAACATGTCACTCATGAGAATTGCAGGTTTGCTCCAAATTTCGTCGTAAAATCAAGGAATATGGCCTTCTTAAATTCAGTGAAAAATCTGCAAGGTTTGTCTTGTCACACAAGCACGAGATTGTATATAGCGCCTATCACACCACATAGACTGGTTCCCGGATCCTCCAGTATCGTTCTTCAATCAAGTATGTAGGGGACCAGTCTCTATTTTTCGAAACCTTGGCTTCGGCTTCAGCTTTGGCTTTGCCTCTACTTCTGAATCACTGAGAGGCAAACTAAACGAAAATATTTCAACTTTTGGCTTCAAGTCAACCGATTGAATGTTCCTGAAGCATAACAGACACCAAAATGTAGCTGGAGTTCCCGAAGTCGGAGGCCTAAAATGTCACTAAGCCGAAAACGAAGTCAAAGCCAGTCGTTTCAAAAACGCCGAGCACCGCGCAGAGGTATCCCACAGTGCTCTGCGTAAAATCTGCCTGCCTATTCATTGGTTGCAAGTTTTGTCAGTAACCAATCAGGGGCGCTGTCCTGCAATTTGCATATCAAAGAGTAAGGGAATCACAGGTGTTTCAAATTCCTTGACCGCACTGCGCACCGTTATTGTTCTAGGACGAGCTTGGGGTAGACAAACTTCAAGGGATGTCATTTTTATCTCCGAAATCGTTGGGATATCTCATAATGAGAATTTATTAAAAACATGACTCTCCTGAGACACTGGCAAAGAAAACAACAAGTACTGCGACCAAAAGTGTAAGTGTTAATTCCAATCTTTATTGCAATTCGCTACACTGACAGTATCTCTGCCACGATCAAAAAAATACCTAGCGAAAGAACGCTGAACAATCCGCATTAACTCAAAGTCTCCGACATTTTCAAACCTCTCATTCGATTTGCAAGCTACACGGATAGTGGTTCGCAATTCTAGCTCTATTCGAATAAAGAGTAATGAGTGCATTGTATGTTGTGATTTTTTGCTAACATTTTGACTGCTATTATTAAAAACACAACAAAGTTCCTAAGCGATTGCTTTATACGCTAACATCTGGAGCAAAAACAAAGTGTTTATTTTTTGTGACGCAAAACGTACAAGCATTTTGAAAACATTTTTGATTACATTAAGAAAAACATGCAGTTTACATCAAAACCGTATTGGTGCAGTAAAAAACAAATTGGACATGAACAAAATGAGATCTGTAATTAACATTTTTCTTGCGTATAAAGCTGGCTACATTTGGGCTGATGAAAAACAGTAATCGGAGAACATTTTACCTCCCTTAAAAAAATCCTTTAATGTCATTATTTTTGTTTAGAAAAAGGAAGATCTGTCAACCTGTTGTTAATCATAACAAAAAAACTAAATTTGCGACTTCTAGTTATTATTTTTTTTCGTCAGCATTTCTTTTATAGTGAATATTAATAAAACTAATTAATCGCCATACCCTGGTAGCCAAAATGGAAAGTACGAAAAAACTGTATAATCTGCCGCTAAATTTTCAGAATTATGCATAATAATTAAAATAACTTGCCATTTTTCTAGTGACACGCTTTCTACATCATGCATCAAAATATTAAACATAGGCTTCTATAATACACTCGTGAATACTTGACACACTCATGAATAATTCAACACTTTCTTGAAACGTACTGTACAAAATGCTTCGTAAATTTAAATATTCAAAACATGCAAATCAATCACGTCAGCTGACTCTGTGTCAACGAATGGGGAATTCTGAAAATTCATTTAGTACTATGTACATACTATAAGCAAGTGTATTATTTTCGTCTCTATAGGATAAGCAACTTGAAAAGCATTAACCGAAATTAGCACTATCGATCGCCAATTTCTGTAGACGAATAAATATTAATGGCTAAATAATAAGCGTTCAACAGCTAGTTAATAATCATAAACTCCATCGGTTAAATCGCAAACTATCGTTCAAAAGAGTACTTTTACACTAATATGAAATTAACCTACATACATTTGTATGGATGCATGTCGTATTAGACATGATACATTTATATTTCATTATAGGTACTTATCTTTACCAGTGCATTACGAGTGAGACACAACATTTCATCGCTAAGTGCAGGTATATTAGATATTATATTATATCACTATTTCAAACAGTAAGAACTTTTTTTGTGGAAACTACGCAGTTCTTGTCAAATCAAACAAGGAAGAGATCTTATACATGTACAAGGATGACTATTTATCTTACATTCCACTGTTTACTTTGGTTAATTAAAGCTCAGTACCAAGTGAACTTTCGAACTGACATCTTGAAATCAATTTTCAAATTTGAGAAATTCATTTTCACTTATGATTCAACCACAACTTTTAAGTCGGTATACTGCTTTAGTACACCATTCTTCTCAATTAAATTGCAACCGAAATACTAGCACAAAAGTTCATCAAAGTATCTGGTTTTAAAGATGTAACCACGACACAACAATTTTAACTTAATTTTCTTAAATCTTCTGCAATGAACACATACACACGTTTTAATTTGGCGTAAAAAAAACAACATCCTGACGACAAAAAAAATGAAACAAAAAAAATATGAACAGGTAACAACTCTGGCAGCAATTATATCTGTACATAAATTCTATCACACATGATACATCTCTATTAAAAAAAACCCCACCAAATCATGCAAAACCAGTGTCAATGGGCTATGCACATTAATCATTTTCCAACTGAAAACAAACAAGTTTCATCTAACTTATCAAATTTGCCCCCATCTGGAAACCTCATGGTATAATATTTATCTTAAAGGACGCAAATCAGTCATCACATCTTTGTCTTAAACGAAAAAAGAACAGACCTGAAAAGAAAACGATGAACTTAGAACTAGTCTCAACTGTACCAATTCTGAGATATAAATCTGGGGCATAGATAAAATAAATACTCTCGTCTTTTGTGATATCTTGGTGATGTTTATTATCACAGTTCTCCATGTTTGGATGAACAGACAATAAGAAACAGATCTTAAAAGCACAACTGAAAAGGATATATAAGAAGCCTTGGGGATGGGTCATTGCCGCATAATAAAGTTCGTGGCCTTTCAATAAAATGCATCAAGTATTTTTAGTGTCCTGTCTATATTAAAACAGTCAAGATCAATGCATGGAAATTACAGTGTGAACAGCCAAAATGTTACAAGTCTTCCATAGCAAACTATAATCTTGGGTGGGAAGGGATTGCCTGAAGAAATGCCAGGCAATCTGATGGTCAACGTGATAGCTTCATAAAACAAATCTCTGAATCATCTGGAAAAATAAACAATCTACGGGGGACGTCTCCGTATGCCTTCTGAATTAAAGGTAACCACTCGGAAACTCTGGAAAAATATATGTGACCAATCCGACAAAATGAGGCTAAGAGGTACCTCAAGCTACTTTTAGCCCCGCCTCATTTTTAAAATGATGTTTTATTTTATCCATCCTAATCGTGTTGAAAGAGCTCCCCAATCAACGACATTTAGCATCAAGAAATGTTTAAGTAGGGCGTAAGTGATGTGAGAGTGTAGAATGTGGGTCTAACATGAAGCCTACTTTCTCTATGGTAGTCTTCAAAGCAACGGTTAATTTTTTTTTATTACAAAAGAATAACATTTCATGTCAAATCAAAACAATGCTGCACTGAACACAACTACTTATTAACATTTTGATACACATGAATTTTCCATTTTGGCAGCACAAACATTCTGTTTTTAAGCCAAACACATTTAACGTTTTAATTTTTCAGTATCCATCATTAAATCTCAGTTAGTAATATAATAAATTTATATATTTCATTTTTTTTGGTGAATACACAAACTGGTGAAAATACAGAACTGTTTAAAATCTATTCTTCTGACACTATTTTGCTCGTATTTACATTAAATATGTTAGTCACAGTCTACAAACTGTGCACTATATCAGGTATTACATGCGTGGTTTGAAAGCATTGCATTCACTCAAACTTTTTTTTTTCAAAAATTTTAATTGACAAAATTGAACTACTGGATATTTGAATGAATTCATCTTATGTTTTGATTTTTGTTTAGTAATACCATTTCTTTTTCAGTTTTAAAGTAGCACACACATGCACTGAGGCACTAAGGCACTTGGCGTAACGTACCTCACAATTCCAGAACTCATGCTTTGGGGGGAATGGGACAAATGACCAAACAAGAAATCTTCAAAAACTAAGATATGTACAAAATATTTTAGCAAAATGCACTTTGTAACTGCATGTATTATCTAAGAAGTGAGACAACGATTTGAGGTTACATGTAAATTTATATTAAAAGCATAATCTGAAACAGGCCTATAGATGCAGTTACATAAAGCCATACGAGTCCAATAGATATATCTCCACGAAATCAAAATGACCTTTTCTTTGCAGAGACTTCTGACTGCATGCTGATGATTTGAAGTTAATCAGAAATGCGATCAAGCAGTTTTGCCGAGGATCATTGCAAAACAACTACCTTTGACCTAACCTGAGTGTCCCGACTCTTGACCTTTTATCTCCATGTTGACCTCGATGCATGCTCTTTTTGCAGGTTACACGTTAACATTTTATTCGGCAGTTCTGTTGCTATTGTAGGTGTCAACAACTCAAGTCTAAGATGGGCTGACCATTGCAAGTCTTCATGTTTCCTGTTTTGGTAGATGACAGATAAACACAACACAAATATGAATAGTTTTGCTGCATAACTTCCATGCACCCTAACTCTCCAAGATACTTCAAAGTCTACCAGGAGATTGCCGGTAGCTTGGCTAGTTCAAATCTGACATAGCCTCGATGCTATGATTTTTTCGCTGGAATTATTTTTGATAATGAACTTACACGTTTGTACACATAGTTCCCGGGGAAGGTTCCAAACATGCCAGTTCTCTCGGACATCCCGACGTACCAACCATCATCACATTTCTCCAAGACGTTCACCAAGTCTCCCTCCAGCAGTTCGATCTCATCCTCATTTTGCGGTATGTACGCGAAAGAGGCCACAAATCTACACGAGTTAAAAAAGTCACAGGGTTGCAGTCAAGCCACAAAGTGAATCACAAATCAAGTCAGCAATCAGGTCAGAAGTAATAAGTGATGAGCAATGAAAAAGCAATATCTTCAAGTCACTCTTCAGTTAAAAAGTTTTTCATTTAAGACGGGATGATGGATATGTGAGGACTTGATGACAGTTTAAGTCTTCAACTAAAATTGATTACTCATTTTCAGCATATATTGATATCCGTTCCGACCTTCGCCATTTGATCAGTAGTAAAACTTGTATTCCTTACTACATCCGATTACCATGGAGATCCAAAAGAGGGAAGGGGTGGAAAGAACAATGGGGGGGGGGGAAGGGGGTGGGGGAAGGGGGTAGGGGAAGGAATGCCCCCGTTTCCCTCTGCTTCTATGCCACTGTTTCTTTATACAAGGGTCGTGCACACAAAAGTTGCACATGGTCCTATTTTCCTTATCTGTCTGTGCAAGAGATCTATTTTTTACAAGTTCAATGCATCCCAGAAGATGCTGAAAAATCTGTTTGATTGATTAGTGTCAGGGGCTTTCTGCAAGCCTGCTGTGCAATCTTGAAAGATATCTGACAGGTTCTTGACATCTGATGCTCCGCATGGAACCCTCGTGTCTGCCTTCTGGTCCCATGTGAGGCAAGTAACCTTTTCACCATCAACTACAAATACTTTATGAAGAAAATTAAGATTGTCTCCAGGCTTTTTGTGCAGAGGGAATGTGGAATCAAAAATATGCACAAGACAGTTTACCAACGAGCCTTTGCCTCAAATGTAGGTCTCTTTAATTTAAAAGGATGATTGTTTTTGCGTATACTGTCCTGAAGTTAATCATCAGACTTCGATTCTTTAAGTGCAGTACCACATAACCACAAATTACATATTGACGCCTGGTGCAAAAACAACCACCAGCATTCAGAAAATAATGTTAAATGTACATAAAAAAATATTAAGTAAAAAATCGCATCTCCCCAACGCAAAACTCCTTCATACAAAAAACCCAAATGTTGACTTTTCCAATGACGCACTGCGGGTAAAACGTTTATTGCCAATTGATGAATTTCTGTATAGAGAATCAATTGATTGACAACTATGAGAATATTATACAAGATTCTGACAACAATGAGAATATTACACAAGATCCATACATATGAGACTTATCAATGTCAAGACGGAAGATACTTACAGATCCTGGCCAGCTGCAAGTGTCCTGCTGGGCTGCAAAATGAAAATAAATTTGAGATGTTGAAAACATGTTGGTGAGGCTCAGATAATGTGCTTTGCGTGCACTCCAATCAAACATACACATACTTAAGTCAATATTTATGTTGCCATTTTTCTTACTTGGAAGATTAGGAAGAAAATGTGAATAGCATTTAAGATTTCAGATTATAGAGCTAAGGCCAAAAAAAAAGTGTCCGGTTTCTGGTATGGAGCTTGCCCCAAAAGTGGTGCGGCGCACGGTCTTTTTTTTTTTTTTACCTGTTTTTTTTTTTTTTTAGCTTCAAATGTCGGCTAATGACTGCAAATGGTGCCCGACTAAACTTAGTGCAAATATATGGGAGTCCAGAGAGGCCACATAAAGCTTATTCTCGATCATAACCCCATCTAAAAACACGTTAAAATTGTGCAGCAGCAGGATTCCAGTCAAACCAGTGAGTTACGCGGTTTTGAGACATCATCTTGTATTGAAAAAAAAACTGTTTCATTTTGCCGACGCGCATGGCTACGGCGACGCGCGCATACCAAAAACCGGAGACTTTTTTTTTTGGCCTAAGAAACAGTTATACAGAGAAGGTAGCACTGTAAAGACCAACTAAAATTGTATGGCATAAGCTTTCTTAGCTACAGCTACTTCATCAGATGCAAGGGCTAAGAAACAAAGTGTTTGAATGAAGCTCGGATAAATGAAGAAAAGGGGTGGGGTGCAGATTGAGGTGGAGTGGGTTGGGGTTGATTTGGTGGAGTTGGGGTTTTGCAGGGGTAGGGGATGAGAGTGGGGTAGGAGTGAATTTGGCGAGTCAGGTTGACGTGGCTGTACTCTCCTCCCCTTCCACCGCTGTGATGCGGGTTCAAATCCCGCCTGGGCCAATACGTGGATTGGGTTTTCAGTCCCTGCCTGCTTCCGTGGGTTTTCCCCAGAATATTCTCCTGGGCTTTTCAGTCCCTGCCTGCTTCCGTGGGTTTTCCCCAGAATATTCTCCTGGGCTTTTCCTCCCACCTCTGAAACTGTAATTTCTTCTCATTGTCTTCTCTCTACAGGTTTCTTCAGGCTTGCGAGCTAGAGTGCCTGGGGCGCTTTTGAGGAATCCTTGGTTTCAGTACCAGAAATAAATAATAATAAAAATAATTGGGATGGAATTGGGGTAGGGGTTTGTTGGGGTAGTAGTTGGGTGAGGGTTGGGTGGGGGTCAGCAAACAAAAACACGATCCATCAACACTGAATATTCCTCTTGAATGTCCACAGACATTTACCTTAGGAACAGGCTCTTCAAAGTACCGCTCAGGCTCCCTCTGGCTGCCTCCGTATGACCCTTGACTGCCGGATGACCCATGAGATGACCTCCCCGGTTGGTGACTTGGTACAGCCTGTGGTCTTTGTTGATGCTTGGGACTGGACTGTACCATATGCTGTGCTGGGGGTTGGTAAGGTGAGTGGCTTGTAGCTGGTTGAGTCTTCTTTGCTGGGGAACTTGCAACACCTTCATGTACAAAAAAAGAAGTCATTGTGATAGTATAAACAATAACGTCTTAACCGTGATATTGATTAAAAATTCCACGATTAGAAACAGAAATCGTGAACAACTTCTACATGAAGTGGTAGAAGCGTCATTCAAATTTGGGTTAGAACCCATTGTCCCTGAGCAAGCTTCTGTGCCCCAATTATCAATTGCCCCCCCCCCTTCCCCGGACGAGCACCCCCCCCCCCCCCCCAAATAAAAAGGAGAAAAGAGACGAAGAAAAAAGAAGACGTGGTGCTAAGTCATATTGCTGTTTACTATGCACATTTAACAACATGGGCGTCCGCAGGGGGTGTCGATAGGGGGTGGGCGAATTGAAAATATGCAACAGAAAGCACAAGGATTTTTGTTAATAATGTGCTTTGCCTCCCCCCCCCCCCTAGAAAAAATTCTGGCGATGCCCATGGCCTCAATTGCTGAGCTCTAGCCATGGCAACAATATGATAAAATTTTGAGATAAGTGAGTAGATTATTTTGCGACTTTTTTTTCCAATATTTCTGAAAGGGTCCAAACTGACCCAAGGAAGCAGTTTAAGTATAAATAACAAAAAATCAATTTTAAAAATTGTTAAACATTTTTTTACCAAAAATAACTTATAAAGAAACTCTAAAACTTCCCCAAGTAGTACATGTACGACCAACATCCATGTGTGACTTATCCACACAAAAGATCCCAATTAAGATTTTCTCTTAGCGTCCTCAACAAATGTCAGACGTCCATGTACAGCAGGGACTGGCAGGAAAGATATTTGACAAAAATGTCAATCCCATTGGCATATGCTGTCCTTTATCCCGGTGAGAAAATATCACAAGTCAGTATGGGTTATGGCCCTGGAACATTTCACATAATGAACCCTCAAGGTTGTAGCTCAATGATGCACGGATAAAATACCTCCAAGTTTAGGGATCTTCAAGAAACATCACTGATAAGTTGATGTGTGTATTTTGAATGATGAAAAAAAAATCAGGAATCTTTGAATTGTATGTATCTACTGGTATACAAGAAACAATGATGGCTTTTAACTGTTTTACCACTTGTTTTACCAACATTTCTTAAACAATACAGCACTGTTATGTAAATAGTTTCCATGCTTACATTTCATAGAATTAAAACAATAACTAAAAGCATTACAATATTAAAACAGCAAAAAGCTACACTGACTCTGTTTTTTTTTGGGGGGGGGGATCACCAGTTCACTTAATTTCTGTTCATAAAATTAATTTAATCTCACTTAATTTCTGTTCATAAAAGTACACCAAATTGAAATAAATCTGATGTAGACACTGTGTGACTAATGCCAAGTGATTTTTTCTAACTTTCACTCGGGAGGTAACACACTGAGTTTACAGTGTTTATACGTCGGTGAAGGGCAAAACCTAATATTGATTAATGCCAAGTTGATTGGAAAATTCTCTGAAGTGAAATTAAACCAAGACTAGCCATCTGTGCATAGGGAGGAGGCACTGTCTGTTGACCTTATCAGAAATCATGGGATGATCTTGACACGCAAACGCAACTTAATTAGCATCTGCTTGATGCAAGGATTAACTATTAAGACAAAATCTTGCCTGTTCTTATAATGGGTGACCCATGTCCCAAAATTTACAAATGAGTTATACACATGGTTTCAAAGCCAATAGTTTAAGCTTTCATATTGGTATATGTTGGATCTTTATAAACACTTCGCAGTTCGCAGGATTTCAGCCATTTTGCATACATTTAAAATTTGAAGGAGTTTACAAGGAACATGGAAATATAGCCTGTTAATGAAAGTTAAATTAAAGTGCAAAGATTAATTGTACGAAAAAAATTTTCAAGCAATGTTGTGTAGCATTCAGTCCATCAGAAGAAGTTCCTTTCGAGAATCAGTCTCGCAAAACACTTTATAAGGAGGTCTTTAGTGTGTTAAATTGATTTCAGCACAACTTGTCCTCTAAAGAAATTTTGACCTGAAATTTGGCCCATCTGGACTCGGAGTGTGCAGATAAGTAATTTACTGAAGAGGATGGTATTCCAATCTGTATTCAATTAGCACACACACACTGAAGACCTAGAATCATCATCATCATCATCCTTCGGCTGCGGAGCAGTCGACTAAAATATTAGTCCTAGAATATTTTATGCAACAGAGGTCGATTGCCCAATTGCTCATAGTCATTCCATAAATTTATGCTCCAAACTTCCAAAATCTTCCAAATTCCGCCACTATGCAGGAACCTGATTTTCTGTTATTATAACCATAGAGCAAGGAACAAGACTGCCTGGTCCCGGTTTTGTGTTCATTATGTCATGAAGCCTATCATACCCAGGGGTGTGAAATCTCAGCTTTAAAGCTGATTTCAGCTTTTTTGTTTTTGATTTCAGCTTTTTTCCCCTCACTTGCTGTGTACAAAAGTATAGGAGATTTCCAAAGTTCAGCTTTGTTACACCTTTTTCCAGCTGTTTTCAGCTATTTTATCAGTGGTCACTCAATCACACCCCTGCATACCACAGAGCAATAAACATACACATTGCCAAAAGACACTTCAGACTTTGCTCTACGCTTCAGTGAACCCTTCATCACCGTACATTGCAGTATGAATACTGCATCCTGCATCTGTATCACATCTTTCAGCGAGAAGGATTCAGTCCAAATTGCTTTGCCATTTAATGTTCACAAGGAGCTTGGAATTATTTTTAAATGTCACACAGCCTAAGGGACCAGTTCAATTTATTTGATTGTTATTCCAACGGCTGCATCTGGGGAAAAGCACACTTTATAGTTGACGACAGCAGAGCATAGATAGTGTTAGAAAATAAATAAAAATACCAGCACTCCAGGGTTTAGATTGAGACAGATAAAAAAACAGGGCTTCTTTTAACCAGAAATAATTCAGAATAATTACATTTTTAAAGAAGATTTTAAAGGGATTCTAGTCATGTTACCAACAGATTTTGAGCACTTTTAACTCAAACCCTTAAAGGCATTTTAGGCTGCAAGCTTGCTATCCCCATTGGCATCAAAACAACAAGCAATACATGTAAATTTTGAAGAACACACCCCAACCTAAACTTTTAAAAAGTGAGGAGGAAGCTTCCTTTTTTTTCCTTGGATTCATCCATTTTCTTTGACTCTTTTGCCGATACTTGTGTGTCCAAATGAGTCTTAACGCCGATACTTGTGTGTCCAAATGAGTCTTAACGCCTTAATAAAGATTCTAAACTTGCATAAATAGCTACAATTTTGCTGGAGGAACATAAAAAAAAACTAAATATATTACAAATAATTGATTTAAAAAAAAAAAAAAGTGGCGGCTGGTTTAAAATGAAGCGGAGCGGTGACAAGAAACTAGTGTATTTTTTACTTGGCCTAATGTTATTACGTCTGTGTATTATTGCTACTGACCCAATTTATTTGTACGGCATAAATCACACAGATGGCGAATGTTGTTCAAATGAAAAATAAATAATGATCTCCCAATATTTAATCTAGTTCTGCTTCTCATTTTCATCATAACACTCCAACAAAATCAGCTACTGAGGTATTTATCCATTCATAAATCAAGTATTGCAAACATTTTTGCTCTTTATTTAATATTTCATTACCAGCATTTCTTTTTAAAATGTTAAATAATATTGCTAATACTCATGTACCAAAAGTATTTAAAAAAAGACCAATTAATTACTGTAATAATACTACACCAAAAAGAGGAATATAAATTTATTTCCCTTTAAAAGCTCTAAAAGGGAAATAAATTATTCCTTGTAGAACTGTTCATACAGAACTAGACTGACCAGAACATTTTTTTCTGTTCGGTAATTTTCATCCTTGGCGGACAGTTTATGCCTGATTTGTGAAGTAATAAAACTCAGTCAAAACATGTCAATTCGCATTGGATCCGACAGGGCCGGTGCTATAAAAAGACAGTCCCACATTTATTCGATTTCAGTTGAGCACAGATGTCTCTGAATGCTGAACTATGTCATTCAAGGCAAAAATGTTGCCCAACGGTTTCCTGGAGAGCATGTTAAAGAATTGAACGAAGGAAACATCCGATTGGCTTAGATTCTGTCCTTGAGTTTAGGAACGGGATAAGCGCATCAGCCTAAGCCTTGACGGGCAGTCCCTTGTAAGCTAATCAAGCAATCAGACCAGCTCGGCAGCTACCAGGGCTGTTTATGGCCAAAACCATCACTCTAGCCCTACGCCTCACATTCCCGGCACCACTGGAATTCCAAACAGCCCAGGATTGCTGGGTATGCTTGCCAGCTGGCTAAAGCTTGACAGCAGAGGGGGCTATGCATATATGACAGTAGTCATGCAATGTCATTATCCAAAATATTGTTCTAGAAACCTTTACATGTAGATATATGTGATGCGATCAAGCTAAGTGAGTCGTTTCAATATCCACTTTCAATTCCTTGCATATTTCTTATAACTCATAGAACACTGTTTTTCTTGTCTAACTGAGGCGTTTATATTTTAAAGTAAAAGAGTTTAGTTTAATAGTTAACACTGAAGATCATTGGCATTTCATGAGTATGACTGGGAATAAACATAAACTTTATGATTAGAAATTTGCTCTTACAGCACTGGTATAAATACAGGGAAAAAATCATGAGCACCAATGCATGTTCATTTCCGTCAAGGTATACATGGGTGTGCACAAAGGTAGAGGCCTACTCTAGTACGGTGTAAGTAACCATGTCTCATTTTCTTTAAAGAGAATATACAACATCTGCAAACATAACAAAAAAATACCAAATTATCACGAAATACCTTACTGGACTGTTAGTGAATGACAGTCTTAAGCATCCTGTAAAATCATGATGTGCTAATGTTTTCTTTTTCGTCGGGAAATTGACCTTACAACTTCCCGACGTCTATAAATTGCTCCGTTTCATCTTAAGTGGGGTCAGGCCGTCAGGGACCAGACTACAAGAACATGATTGTTTTTCTTGGTTTTTCCAGCATCTACAAACCCAAAACGTCAAATAAGTAAGTGTAACAATATTTGCTATAAAATACTTAAACCTCCAAATCCATCCATTTCTGAAAATTACAGCAAAAGCAAATGTTGTGTATTCCCTTTAACTACATTCTTCATTGGCTATGTGGTTTTGTAGGTGAATTGATAGAAACCACACAATTCCCAGGGTAGGGACAGTAAAAGCCACGGAAACATCACCGGAATTCTCTGTCAGCTGCAAGACACTTGACAACTTCATCACTGGCAATGCCCACCTTTGTGAACCTGTCACTTCAGTGGGGGGCTGCCAATAACTTTTGACAAGGTAATCTGCTTGAAGATAACATAATGCCCACAATCTTACAGGGATCATAGGCTAGACGGAAATGCCTCATACTTTTAAGGTGAGTGAATTTATACTTCCTTTTATATATCACCTTTGTGGATTTATATAGCCACCGGTGGCGGCGCCAGACTCAATTGGGGGGAAAGTGGGTGGCAAAGAAATAGTGGGAGAGGGCAGTCAAAATAATATCTAATTTCCAAAATTTCACTCTCTGCTTTCAACTATAGTTCTGATTCTGAACAGTGAAGGAATTAAACAGAATTAATCTCTGTGTTGACAATGTGTGTGTGCGGGGGGGGGGGGGGGGGGGGGAAGAGAGCAAATGCCATGCCCCCATCCCCACGTAGCGCACCACTGATAGCTACATGGCTTCTTTGGTGGGGCTATAAATGTACATGGATAACACAACTATCAATGTTAATTATTTGCTATCCAAACTTCTAGGGTTAACCCCCTCTGTTTATGTATACTTTTTAGTTTTAAACAACCTGCAGGAAATTGTGGGAACCGATAAACAAGGTTGTCCATTAAGGACTTTGTTTTGGATCCGCGGCTTCAAAAAATTGATTTAACCATGATCACTTTTCGACACACAAATTACAAAACATGCTAGAGGTCAAAAGCAGGACACAAAAATTTGTGCAGAAACAAAAATCAAGAAAAAAGCTTCTAAAGCATTTCCAAACATCCGCCCCAAAAAATAATTGGTACCCTATAAGAAAAATGGACGAGTCCAAAGCTTGTATCTTACCTGTAGGTTCTCGGAGCACCTCCACGTAGGCAGCGGGGAAGATTCCTTTCCTATCTCCAATGTTCCCCTCCCACCAATTAGCATCAATCTTCTTGATGAGGACTATGTACTCTCCCTATTTTTTTTGTTTACATCCGGGGAAAAAAATAACAGTTTGCATCAAATTTGCAGCTTATCACTGTTACATTTAGATTTTTTGTTGTTGCAATTTTCAACAAAAAGTAAAGCATTTGGGGAAAAAATGAAGCTCTTCACTTATACACAACTTGCAATCTAACAGTACCCTCAAGTGTTCACCAAGAAGTCCCATTTGACCATCTTTAAAAAAAATTACTCTCTGGAGCAAAAAGAAAAATCGTTGAATCCCCACTTAATTTTTAAAAATCCTGGATCCTTCACTTTGGGTAACTACTACTACTATTACTAGTCGACTGCGCAGCTGCCAACCACTAGGTTTCTCCAAATGGCTCTATCTTGGGCAGCCTCAGGATCTCCTTAGATGTAAGGATTGCATCTTTAGAGAGTAATTGTTGTTTGCAGGAATACTTGTAAATAGGTATAGGTTGTTTTACTTAATCAGTACTGTTTAGATGCTTGATTCTTGTTTTTATTCACAAAAGTACCGCTGAAAGGAAATTGCTGACTCTTAAAAAACATCAGTTTTTAATCTTTGTCCCCTTCCTCCCTATCTCCAGAGATTCTGAGCTCACCTTACTGAAGCTGAGTTCCATCTGAGTCTCGCCAGAAAACTTGTACTTGGCCCGGGCCTTGCCCTCCAGGCCTGGACCGTGTAGCTGGGCCTTCTTGGCATCCTCAAGGGATGTGACGACCTGGTCAATTAGGACAGGTGAGATCAAGAGATATATCACAACGGTAATCTGACTTGGTTCGTTCTTAAGCAATTGCCCATTGGACAAAGAAAATAAACTGAAGCATCTGAAGCCTGAACACAGGAAAATTGACCGAAAAGGATTTGAAAATTGACTCAAGTGATGATTAAATCATCTGATATGGCCCTTGAACCTGAACAACAAAAAATAGATCGTGAGAGTTAGATTCATCCCTTTACAATAAAAATGGACTCCAGAGAGATGTGTTTAACCAAAAGGGTCATTAAATGCTATACATGTTTTTACATAATCCTATAAGCAGCTCCAGCTTGACTGGTATTTTCATTCAATGAAAACATCCAACTTAAAAGAAAAGCATTTTTATGGAGAATTTGGCAAACAGTTTTCGACAAACTCTTAAAATGATTACTTATTTAGGGTAGACAGGATGGCGTAGCATACCACCTTAGACCTGGGTTCGAATCCCACCAGGGTCAATAAGTGGATTGGGTTTTCAGTCCCTACTTGATTCCATGGGTTTCCCCCAGAATATTCTTCAGGGGTTTTCCTCCCACACTTTAATTTCTTCTCACTGCCTTCTCTCTACAGGTTTCTTCAGGCTTGCGAGCTACAGTGCCTAGGGTGCTTTTGAGGAATCCTTGGTTTCAGTACCTGAAATTAATAATAATATTAAAAGAAACATTTTCCATGAAATTGGCCCTAGGCTGACATGTTTCTTACCTCCACATAGCTGGAAGGAAAGATGCCAGCATGGCCATGATGCTCTCCCTCAAACCAATTCTGGTCAATCTTCCGCAGAAGATAGATGATGTCCCCCTTGCTGAAACTCAACTCCCTTTGAGAACAAAGGTTAAAAAGTTTGCCATCAATGCAATGAAGGAGCATCTTACTGATAAAGATGACATGACCAAACAAAAAAAAGAAAAAAAAGGGGCTACTGTCATCCTGCATGTAACTAGTCAAAAGTACTGGGCCTGACTTTGCTTGCTAAACAAAAGAACTCTTGAATTATGTTGCTGATAATTTTAACGACAAACAACTCACTTGTGGTTCTGAGCTTTGAAGGGATACAATGCAATAGCACACGCCTTGACCTGTGCAGAACGAAAATACAAAATTATATAAATAAATGCAAAAATGAAATGTTCAGCTTCTTCAAATTGCAAGTCATGTCTATAAACTACGCCTAGAGTTCAGGGATCATCTTCACGATGCAAGGCATCCAGTGAAATTTGTTACCTACCTCATGCAATGAGATCAGGTCAGCAGGCCAAGTCTGAAGTACTGATCTCTTGCCGACAGTAACACACCCATATCCCTTACCCTATCTCCCCACAATGCAACTCCCGAGGCCCCTTCCTCCATACCTCTTGTTTCCGACCATCGTCGGCAGCACTGATGACCGGGTCTCTGAACCTCTCATTGGTGATGATGGGAGACTTGATGGGTGCGTAGTCTGAGTGTCTTCGCTGCTTCTGTTCTTCCGCTTGCAGTCTCTCCTTCTTTTTCCTCTCCTCTTCAATCAACTTCTGATAAAATAACATCAGTCATTACAATTAATACAGTTACAAGGGCTCATTGATCTTCTTGATTTACAACACAATTTTGGCTGGTATACTGCTTATGCTATTAAATAAAACTTTTCAACACAGATTGATTGCTGGATATGACAAATCCACATTCATCACATCATGTACATGACTAGAGGGCCATACAACAGCAGCAGCAGCAGCTGCAGTAGCAGCAGGAGGGGTTGTCAGTAAACAATTGTTGACTGCTGTGATGTGGGATATGATGTTTTTTAACGCCCGAGGGGTGCTGCCAGGGGGTTAAAAATGGCATGTCCCACATCAGAGCAGTCAAAAATTTAATTTTATTTATAATTTTAATTGTTTTGTATATTTGTATTGTGCGTCACCAGCGTCTTGCTTGGCGGATACTGGCGCCTTATAAAATGTTCATTATTATTATTTAAAAAGACAAATGGTTGTAACTTACTGTGTGAGAAATACATTAAATCACTGCGATGTAACCTTTGATAACTGAAGGCTTTGATGTCCTGCCAGGCAGGAGACTGATGAGTGTTTGATGTTGCACTTCTCATTGTGCAAAGCTTTAGCATGCCGGCAGGTTTCTCAAGCGCGTAACGCACAATGAACACAATGCGATATCACACCCTCAGTGTGTGACAAGCATATATTGTCCAGACACCTGGCCGTCCTAGACCAATGAAATTACAGTATCCAAGCACATGATATGACAAGGATATTTCAATACAGGGGCAACATCCTTACATCAATTAAGGAGCACGTTGATATTCTACAGACAGTGGTTCGGTGAAATCAAGACAGTGCTGTCAGCTGAGAAATAGTTACTAACCTCTGCTTTCGTCTTGTCCAATGTTGGCGGTGGATCCCTGTAGTTGTAGATCTTGTCGCTTCCTGAGGAGTGCCTGCTGGGCTTGGACCCTGACAAATCAAAGAAATACAAACAAAGTTCAGTGACACAGGTTTGGCAATATTTTCAAAAACTTTTAGGCAAAAGAGCTTTCCAAAAATTGCACAGACAAGTACCCATTAAATGGGGCTTCAAAAAAGCACGGAAAATTAACACATTAGGGGAAAAAGCAGCTTTTGAGAGTGTTAATATTAACTGCAGCAACAGGCCATAAATAGTCAATCATTATATCACCAAGTTATTATAAACACTTGCATGTGATATATTGTAACAAACAGAACCTTTTTTTTTAATTAACAGGGTACTTGGAAAAAAATCCTCTTTAATTGTTAATGTCTTACCAATTTTATAATCAAACCTCTAAGATTATTCATATTATCAAAGGTAAAATGTCCTTATTCATTGTAAGACCTTACATTAATACCTACTTACACCACCCAATTCATCTTCGACTTTACCCAATTTTAACAACCACAGCTTTGAAATTATTTCAGAACCTAACTTAATATGCTATATCATTACATGCACGTCTCTGACGTTCATCGAACTGCAAGCAGAACAGCATGTAGTGTTCCAGAGGGTAGTCAACAGCACGGCCTCGACGTAACATTCTTCACAGCAGACATGGTTAGAAATTCAAACAGTTATTGATGACTGGTTTCCGCTACAGTGAAGCTTTCCAACTTCGTTGATCAGACACCAGTGTTAAAGGCATGGTTCAGAGACAGCAACAGCTGACTGGTTCTCGGTATACCTCACACTTGCAACAAAGATAACATTCTTCACAGCAGACATGGTTAGAAATTCAAACAGTTATTGATGATTGGTTTCTGTTTCAGTGAAGCTTTCCAACTTTGTTGATCAGACACCAGTGTTAAAGGCATGGCTCAGAGACAGCAACAGCTGACTGGTTCCCGGTGTACCTCACACTTGCAACCAAGAAAACATATTCAGTTACCAGTTGGGTTAACAGATTCAAAACATGTTGAGAAACATCATGGCTCCCTGAATGCTCTTTAAAATGGTTGGTCGGCTTGCTGCAAAAGTCCAAGAGGAAGCTTTCACCGTTTGTGATATTCTACTGGAGTCAATATTTCATGTGCAAGCATTCCACTCCAATGTTGCAACTTTCCAGAAGATTATCTCCGAAGGGACATAAAACCTGAAACTCAAGATGGCTGCTAATGATGTCTCAGGGGAACCCCATGTGTAAAGTTGCTGTCTGGAAACATCTTCAACAACAACCCAGTGAAACTTATCGTGACAAGAGACTCCAGAAGAGTAAAAGCAGCTCAAAAATTCAAGTTGAGATGCCGGAATCAGATGAAGACTTTAATAAACATGCTTGACTTCTTCAGAAGCTGCCAGAATGACCCCAATGCCCTTCACCCTTCTTGGCATGAAACTCTGCACCTCAGTGAAAGTTTGCTCATGTGAGATCAACATAACACACATGATTCAAGTATCGGTCTTGTCTAGACACGTAGCTTCCAGAACATTATACCAACAACTCACTTTACTCAGTTGTTATCAGCGCGACCACTTAAAACCTGCACAACTTTAACAAGAGCATTAAGGTCAGCATCTGTACGCCAACTGCAGTTAATGTTCCATCACATTACACATGTATGACAAAACCCATACCATTCTCAACAAACACATGAGAGTGAGACATAATATTGCAGCTACGAGGACAAACTTATCGACACATTGCATCAGTCTGTTGCATTCTAGACTGTCTATTCCTTAAGGCGAAACACTTCCGACAGATCCAGAATTAACCAGGGCAATTAATAACCCCTGGACACGTTTCTTTTTCAAATATGAATCAGTATAGATGCATCTAGTTGTACAACAAGGACATGGAGAGATTTAGCTAGGTTAAGCTTGAACCTAGATTGACCTGGGAGCTGGGATGTTTTACCTTGCATCAGGACGATAACACATCGACGTTTGTAGGTCACCATACTTATATGGTGACGGTAAGATTGGCTTACTGACACACTTTACCAACACAGTCCCGTAACCCGCGAATATCATTTACTCTTTGGATGGCTGAGTACATACACATAGGATATCAATTAAAATATCTGATATCGATAAGGCATTTGATTGGTTTTTTTGTATGAGAATTGAGCGCAAGGTAGATTAATCTTATACCTTATTAAATACTAACCATAATTGATATACAGTTGTACAGTACATACGCCCAATAGATACTTAGTATCCTATTGTAGATTTTAGCATTACATACACATAAGGATATCAATAAAATATCTGATATCGATAAGGCATTTGATTGGTATTTTGTAGGAAAATTCAGCGGAAGGTAGATTAATCTTATACCTTTTTAAATACTAACCATAATTGATATACAGTTGTACAGTACATACGTCCAATAGATAATTAGTATCCTATTGAAGATTTTAGCAATACAAATAGTATATCAAATGTTTTAGTATAATCTCTAAATCCCCCAATCGTGGCATAAAGTTAACTTTAGATTAATTTAAAAGACTAAAGTAGTTCCTGCACTAGTTCCCCACAAAATTGCATTTTATCCATTCATGACACAAATGTTAATTATCTTCATTTTTCTCAGACCCAACTGAGCCAGTAATATCAGTCTCAATATCTCAAGTCAGACACGGAGATGACATTTTCCAATAAAGCGCTTGTGAACCACCCACTCACCAGCTGGCAGTAACATTAACTGCACTGATCCGAGCGCAATGGCATTTTGCCTGAACTTCTACGCTATACGCATGGCTGCAATAGACGAGCATGGTTTGGAGGTACACTGTGACTTCAGCTGTTCTCCAATATGGTTGTGGAAGTGCGTGTGACTTGAGAACTTTGTTCTTATTTCCATAGTTATAACCCAAAATGGAAAGACTTGTAGATTTGATTATTAAAACTACCACTTTAAAAGGACACACAGTCGTACTTTACTGTTGCATCTTGAAAACAAGACATTGTGTTTCTCTTTCTTCCAGTGACAAAACACTCTTCCAGAGACAAAGAACATAGAATTATATTCGAGAACCATTTTTAACAAAGATGTACCTGTGCAAAAACAACAAAGAATCTGTTATTCTCTCTTTGTTTAGATGATGTCCTTGGGATGTATGTAATCCAGTGCATGTGAGCGCTACATGAAACCAGAAGGTTCATGCTAAGTTCTACTACTATAAACACTCGAACCATAATGCTTCTCGTTAACCGCATTCATACAATGTTAAGCCAAGTCAAGATCAGCCGTCAAGAACAGTCTTGGACTTTAGAGTTACTGTCCCTAACTGGGTTTTCGGGCTAAGTGGTCTTTAAAATAACTTGGCAATGCAGGCTTGTATACAGACAGGGGTTTTACTGGGGAGTTATCAGTAATTGAAATAACTGGTTCCTGTTTCTTAAACTAATGGAGAAAATAATTGGCAGCTAATATTGATGGTTATTTCAGACACAGCAGTTAGTAGGTTTTAAACCTAGATGGACCTACATGTACATATATGATGATCACGGTGAGTTGCATGAGTTGTTGGCCTCAAGAAAGATTGTCACTTGTTTGGGGGTGCATACCTATGTTCCCTAATACCTATGTTCCCCAACCCCAACCCTATGCATCTTACCCTAACCCCCCTTACCCTAACCCTAACCCTAAGGATTTTGGGGAACATAGGTATTGGGGAACACAGGGTAGAGCTTGGTGGTGGCAAAATGCTCAAAAACCAGTCTCTATTCTTAACACAAAATGCTGCTCTAAAACGCTAACAGTTTCCTGAAGAATCAAATTGGTCACGCACATTCAATGCCGTTCATACGTTAAGTTAATACACCAAGGACTACAGTTAAAAGGAATGTGGTCGCACCTTTAATTGAAATGAACATGTGACCTTTGCTTCCAATCTGCTGCCAAATTAAAATGTACATCTAGATTTACACCCAAATTGATGATACTTTATGTTTTAATCATAGGAATCCACTAAGGTCAACGCCATCATGAATGCACAAATCAAACTTAATTCTTCGGAACAGCTGTGTCACAAGACACATTGTCACAAAGAGTATTAGTGAAAAGGCAATCAAATAAAAACGAAATAATTACTTTGACACTTCGCATTTGAATCTCCTTCAGCTTGGCTCTGCTTCACTGGTTGTCCCTGAGAGAGTATCACTGTGTTCGTCTGGGCTAATGTTCCATTACCCAGGGGAATGGCAGTATGACTTTGGGATTCTGTCGCCGAGTATGATGCCGGTAATGCCACTGGATTCCCCTGGGGAGCTGTTCTGTATTTCTCACCAGAATCAGTCTGCCTTTGGAAATTCACCACAGGGTGTACCCGGGGTAATGCCACAGGTTGTCCCAGGGGTACTGTCACATGTTGTCTCTGGGGTTGTGTCATCTGGTGTCTCTGGGGTTCTGTCATCTGGTATCCCTGGGGTAAGGGCACATGCTGCTTATGAGGTATCCTGTTAAGTTGAGGTATTGATGTCTGTTGACGTTGGGGTGGTGAGGCATGTCCAAGCAGGTTCGTCATGTGATTTCCCTGGGGTACTGGCACATGCTGTCTGGGGGTGTGTGTCACCTGCAGTTCCTTTGGAGATCCTGACACAAGGTGCCCCTGGGTGACTGGTTGTCCATGGGCTATTCTTACTGGATTAACCCTTGGTGTCCCAACACTGTCGCATTTTGCCTGTAATTCAGGCAGGTTGTTTGTGCTTGCAAGTTTGTGGGTGTCTGTCACCGGTTGTATATGGGTTGCTTTGACAGGTTGCACCTTCCATGGTATTCTGTATGAATCTGCTGTTTTGGCATCCTGGCCATTATTCACTGCAGTATGACATGACGTCGTACCAGGCGTCCCAGAATTCATAGCACATCCTGATACCCTGGATGATCGCTGTGGCTTCTCAGGTGGGGTTGATGTGTTGGTCGCTGGTGAAGCGGGTACTGGAGCGCCCATTTTCTTATTCTCGTCAAACTTCCCGATGTCCAGGCTCTTGAGAAGGG